ATGACGAAACTCAACATAACCGATCCCAACATCTGGCTGCCTGGAGAACCAAAGGCTGATGCCAAATTGCTGTGCAGTTATTTGTTGAATCGAAATGGATCCTGGGGCCTCGCCAATTTTGAATGCAGTGAGGAGCACGAAGGAAAAGTTACTATCGTTTGTGGCTTAGCAAAGGCCACCAGTAAGAGAAGAACTTTTTAAAATTTAAAATGACCAATTTGTCGATAATAATGTAAACATTTAGATTGCACAATAGCTCCTCCGAAGCAGAACAACAGGACAGGCACTGCATCACCAGCACCTGATAGCAATGGAGCTTATGTTTTTGAAGCAACTAATTCCTACCCAACTTGTGATTGCGGAATGATGGAAGAGAACCAGACGGGATCGGTAACAGTTCGAACCAGCACCTGTTACGGGAACTTTGGCTGGTATCCTTATTCCCTTGGACCGTGTGTACCTGGTACTTGTATATACTGTATCTCTGCATTATTAATTTTCCAACCTTTTCTTGATAAAAAAAAAAAACAGTTCAACTTCGATAACTCGTACCTCTATGAGTAGAATACCTTCCGAAGTAACTTTTTTTCAAGTCCCCATTTCTGGATTCACATAAAATCGATGTATCGAAAGTCCCAAACTCGGCTTTCCTAAAACTCAAATTTTATGAGAGCCTTTTGTCTATTATTTTATTGATGAAGGAAAAATGTAAATTGATGCTTTTTGAAAGAAAATGAAATAATGATTGAGCATTGCCGATAAGTCTAGCCTCTTATCAACTTAATTAATAAGCAATGTATGGCTTAGAATATTACCAAAGACAATTTCTTTCAATTCTTCTTTCTTTCCCCGGTCAAAAAGGCTCGTTTCCATAACGCGAATATTTTTCTTAGTCCCTTGAAGTTTGACGTAAAGAGGTTCAAATGCAAAGATTTGTTCTGGTTAAAATTACAAACGTTACTCATAGGTTGGAGAATTCTTGCAGGTACCAAAAAATGTGGAGGGCTGCCATCGGAGCCGAAAAACGATTCTCACATGCAACAGAATTGTTCCGTGAACGACGAAATATCTCACTGGTCTCTCACGTGTGTTTCCGACTACAAATGGGCAAATTCCAGTAGCACATCTTTGGACAGGACGTGTAACGAAGATACTGGAAACTGGACTGAAATTCAAGATACCTGCGTTCCCGTGACAACTGATGAGACAGCATCAGCAGATTCAACAAGCGGTATAAGACTTCTTGAGCTCATTTCTTCAATTGAACACGGGAGAAAAAAAATTTGCTTCGAGTTCTGGGAACTAGATCCGAATTCTTGTGGAGAAAAATCATCAAAATAAGTTTGTTTTTGTTCGCAAGTACTGTTTAGCATTTAAAGTCACAAGGTGACTCATGAAATTACATTTTGACTACAGCACTTTCTTCCTCTTTTTTAAATTTATCATTTACAAAATCGAACGTATAGCATCACTTACTTCGTCAACAAGTGTCAGTCCAACTACTTCCACGACACAAGGTGGTTTATCCAGAGCAAACACGATGATGTCTTCTTCCACCGGAACAGCAGCGACATCTACTCAAACATCAACAGAAGCCGGCTCAGTTATTGCTTCAACTGCGTCAACATCACTCTCAGCAACCAATGGTTTGAATAACAGTCCACGGCCGTTGATATATGAGATAATAAACTGTACCATCGACTTGTGGAGTTCTGTGCATGGGCCCACAAAAACTTAATACTTAGGAGATTCACAGATACACTTATTTTTCAGTACCATAAAATTGTATTCGAAGATTAGCTGGGTCATGAGCTTCATGACTTGGACATAATTTGAGCGCCTGGGAGATGAAACGGAAAATTAATTTTCTTTTCCGGACTTGAAGTCGATGCCAAATAAAGTGAAGCTTGAAAATAAATTAGTTCATTCCTCATAAAGATGATAAATACAGGTAGTATCTCACAGGATTGAAAATATGTTGAGGAAGGATTTTATAAATACTGTATTATGGAAACTTCCATCGTCTCTCAACGTGTTTTGAATTTCATTTATTATTGAAATTTACAAGGCGATATGAATTCACGATTATAATCGTGAATTCATGATACTTTTGGGAGTCAATCTTTGAAATGCGACAGCAAGTTTTTTTATTACACGCACTAAATTGAAAAGTCTCAATGTTACCTTGGGTTTAGAAATCAAATATCAGAGAGGAAGTCTCAGCATCTTCTGCAAAAGCAACACATTTTCACAACTAACAACAACTTCTTAAAATTTCCTATATAAATCAGGATCAACGAGTTTGACATCCAATCCATCCACTATGAGTGCCACAACTGCAACTGCATCAAGTTCCAGTGCAGCAAGTGGAACAACTAACACGCAGCAAGGGACAACAATATCCTCCATGATAGTGTCATCTACAACTACTACTGGAATTACTGCGTCGACAGCAAAAATCACTGAAATTTCTTCCGGCACAGGAAGTTCTTCAATTTTGAGTACGACTGAGCCGATCACATCAACTACTAGAGCAACAGGGGAACCAGGTGAGGCTTTACTGGAATTACTGCGTCGACAGCAAAAATCACTGAAATTTCTTCCGGCACAGGAAGTTCTTCAATTTTGAGTACGACTGAGCCGATCACATCAACTACTAGAGCAACAGGGGAAGCAGGTGAGGCTCGATGGCTGGTCAAACAATGGCCCTGTTTTCAAGTTCGAAGAGGTCAGGTAAAATCCTTTTCTGTTGGTTAAAACGCTAATTAAGCGCCGAAATCGGCCAATTTATCGAGGAAATTTTCAACTGCCTGGAACCTCTTATTCGAACCTGGACACACTTCATTCTTTTGCATGTTCCAACTCGGGCACTTATAGTTGCATCTTGCATGCACATTACCTCAAAATTTATAGCTTTTTACCAAGACATGCTTTTCAGGTCAATAAAAGAAAATTATACTCATGGTGGTGAGTAAAAATATTCTTTTAAAGCTTCGAGAAAATAATAATGAAATGATTTTTGGTGTTTCTTCGTTCTCGCAGTGTGGGCGTGGTCCATCGTTGCAAGAACTGCCCTTCATCTGCGGCCGAAATTTTTTAAAAAATTGTCACGCATATACCGTGCAATAAACGAGTAATTTCTGCACAAAGGGCAAGAAAATTGTCTTAGACAGCCGGAAATTCCGGAAAGCAGCGTGGAATTCATTCTTGCAAAATGTGTTTGGACCCACGAAGTTCATGGAAGTGAATTCTCCAGTACAAACCCAACATGGGAACACACTTGCGTTCCTGGTCAATTTTGGTCATCTGGTAAATCAGGACCTATTTACAGCACTTGTAATACAGCTGAAGGACAATGGACCCCCATCGACGACTTCTGCATCCTTGCCCAGGAAACTCCGATTTCTGAAACCTCGACGAATGCACCAACGGGTAAAACCTTTGAATATGAGTCCGTCAGTAAGATGTCGCTTCTCAAGTTTCGAAAAATGCTTTTCAGAAGCACAACCCAGGGATTGGTCAATAATACTTCCATTGTTGACTCCGGGAGAAGAGCAGCAACATATTACAATGGAAATCGCTGTGAACAAATCTCAAAATTTTGCAGTTGCACCTTATCGTTGTCCCACAGGGAAATACTTTCTCGGGGTCAGCACTGAATTTTCTGAGGGTCAACTGTTCCGCAAATCTGGGATGGAAGAAACCAGAAAACGAGCTTTCCTGCCAAGATTCTAAAGGTTCTCGAAAAATCAAGAATTTTTTTTGGGTTTCGATTAGAAGAAAAGAAACTAAAAATTAATTAACTCGAAATCATCTTAAACTCCGACAGATATTTTTGTGCCTGACTACGATTTTCTGGTTACAATTTGGGAAGCTTCGGAGCATGGCTACCCGCATTACAATTGTGGTCTCATCATGGTTCACACTCCGGACTTGATTTCGAAGGCTATGGACGTTTTAGACCCAGAAAAAACAGCATTCTGCTTCACAGCATCTGCCCGAAGTTAGTTGAGACAGCTGTTCTCAGTGAATTATATTTTACCGCCTAATTACCTATCGCCTTCAATCCATCAGTTGTTTAATTTTTTATTGTATTACATTTTGATTCCTACTACCGCGTCAATTTGGCAACAAAAGACACGACAAGCAATCCGGATACAGCAATGCCACAGTCTTTTGAAACCCCTTGGATTACTCTGTGATGAGTTGATGACTGATATAGTCAGATTTGACTTGATTGCACCTCAGAGAGTCTAAGATCGGACACCCCAAAGAACACACCAATCAGGAAATGATCACAACGTTTTATTAATACCCAGGGTAGCGAATACCAACACTTTTATATACAGAGATCTGCACACTTTGACAGTCAGGCACTGAGTGATGGCTGGGGCTGAGCGAGACCCCTTACTCAATGGTAACTCAAGATGGCCACCGGAAGCGCGCGGGCTTGGCTGGCCAAGGCCCTGTGATTGGCCTGATTGAAACAATGCAAAAACACATTGAAGTTGCGAAGCCTGTCGCACGGGACACAATGGCCGTCGGCGGCCGTTACTCTCCCCCCCTTTAAAAAAAAGATGCCGTCGGTGGCTTTTCTAAAAAAAATCTGGGGGTTGAGGTGCAAAATTGCAAAAACGCGCAGGTCGGCGGCGGCGCCTTTTGGGTCGTTGATGGTCCGGTCCTTGGTGGTCCTGGTCATTAGTCCTCGTCATCCGTGATGGGTCCCTGGCCGGTAAGTGTTGTTGCCAGTGTGGACCGTTTCGGTTTGATCTCCGGCGTTTCCTCTGGTTCCAATGAGTTGCTGGAGGAGGATGAGAGGAAGCATTGTTGCTTCCTGTTGTTGTCACGTCTGGCCTCGGCTGCGGGGACGGAGTGTGAGCTGGACTCACTGGAAGAGTGATCTCTTTGCTGGACACTGGCGACGTTGCCCGGTTGAGAGTCCTTGTCCTCCTCGGTTGAGGTAGGTCGGCAGCATGGTTCTGGTTCATCCGAGCTCTCGGAGAGCTGGAGGAGATCTCCTCCTGTTGGTGCCATAGAGGCGGCGGCGTCCCTGGGGAATTCCCGTGTCCTGCTTCCTCTTTGGCTGGCGTCGGCTGACTGAGGTCATCTTCCGAGCCGTTGCTGAGGTGGAAGCGGGGACGTGGGGCGGAGGTCTCCAAATCCTGTATGGGAAGAGAAGGTGGAGATTGTTGGTCAGTAAAGGTTCTTAGGTTGTTGGGACATGAGGGGGGAGGTGCAGTTGGGAAGGAGTACGGTTGCAGTTCCCAGGCGTTTGTGAGTTGTGCCCCTTGGGGTGTATCAATGACGAATGCGCCTTTCCCCTGTGGTCTGATTATTTTGAACAGTCCAAACCATTTGGGTAGGAAACGTCGGTGTGCCGCGTGGCGTTCTGTCGTGCGCAGGCGTGGCCTTAAGGTAACCATCTGGCCTACCCCAAACAGGAAGTTTTGAGAAGTAGTCGACTGCGACCAGCACATAACGGTGGCCCTGTTGCAAGGGCGGGAATGGACCCCAGAAGTTGATTCCAAGGTGGTTGTGTTTTTCGGCCGGTGGTGTTGGTTCCAGTGGAGCGCCCACTTTGGATGTCGCTGCGTTGAAGGTAAAGCACTTGGCGCACTCAGCGATTTGCCTGAAGACATCGGCCCGCATATTAGGCCACATGAATCGTTGTCGCAGGTGTTGGAAGGTTTTTTTCCAGTTTGGGTGCCCCATTTCGAGGTGATATTCCTTGATTAGGGCGTGCCTTTCCTCTGCTGATGGGATTTCTCTGAGCTAGATGGAGTGGAGCTGAATATGACTGAGTGCGTCTGGCCCGGTGAGCGATTTCCCCGGTCTCTGCACCATTGTATATTGGAAGTATTCCAATTTTAGATTGAGGCTGATGAGCCTTGTATCCATCAAGTCCCTGAGCAGGGCCTTGTGGTCAGTCACAATTTTAAACTGGCGGTGTTCTACGTAGTGGCAGAATTTCTTTGTGGTCGCCCAGACTGCTGCCAGTAGTTCCCGCTGGGTATTCAAATACCGTGTTTCAGCCGGCCTGAGTACGCGGCTAGCGTATTCCATAATGTGTGGCTGTCCCTGATTGTCCAGCTGCACCAATATTGCTCCGATCGCCGTGGCTGACGCATCGCAATGTATTTCTGTCTGCCAGGCAGGTTCGAATTGTTTGAGTCTGGCTGCTTGGGCAATTGCCTTCTTGAGTTCCTTGGAAGCCGTTTCTGCCTGGTTGGACCACTGCAGGGCCGTGGCTGGTTTGACCAGAATGGTCAACCAAAGAACTTTTTCTAATTTTGCAAAATTTGTTGGGACCACGTGAGTATCCATGCAGCGCTCAGGTTCCTTAACGACGTAAACGGCGCACCAAAACCCGAAACCTTTACGGAGGTGGCGAAATTCCACAAGTAACCGACGACCCGCGCACGGGCAAAATAGATGTATATGTCCGAGGAACTTAATCAACTCGGCAAGAAATTGGGATTTGGCGATGTCGATAGAGGCCCCTGCGGCTGTTAGGGTCATGAGCACTTCTGCAAGGTTCTTTGTTACCTGTTCGAAGTCGGTACCGAAGACAATGACGTCGTTGATGTACACCAGGCATTTTGTGTAGAGGTGCGGACGCAGAATTGTTTCCATTGTTCATTGGAAAATTGCGGGGTCCCGTTTTAAGCCCGTAGGGCAGGACAGTATATTGCATCTGGCCTCTGGGTGTTGAAAATGCAGTTTTATGGCGATTGCCATGTGCTAAGGGGATGTGATGATATCGGTTTACATTTAGCTCCGTTGTCTTCATGCGCAAGACAGCGGGGTCACGTAGGTTCTACAAAACCTACTGGCCGTAACCTATTAATAGGCCATCTTACTGAAACAACTAAAGAGACATCAGGAGGTGGATTCTCCACCTTTTGATTACTGGTGCATTTGGGTCATCGTCCTTCAGCGTTAAAAAGGCTGGTGAGTTGATGGTGGACTGCGCTGTTTTGATGATGCCCGCTTGGGTGTAATTATCGATTATCTCATTAAGCAAGGGGGCTTATCCAGTGAAATACGGATGGGCTGGGGAGGTTCGGGATCTTGCCCGTTCATTGGGAGTGCTGCAACGTACTGTGGGAACAGTCCGTGCTTGCCGCTCCATTGGAAGATGTTCTTCCTATGCTTGAGCAGTAATTTTGTTACTGTTGCTTGTTCTTGCTCGGAGCCGTCCACAAACCAAATGCCCTTGCCCGCAGGGGCTTTGTGGCTCCTCATTAGTGGGTTTGATATTCTGGAATCCCAAAAAGATGCGTTGCCCGTCGAGGGTTACGCAGAATGGGAGATCCTGAAGCACGTTGAGCCCGATGATGACGGGGTAACGCGAATTGGATAGCAGAAAAAAGGACGCGCAGTAGATGGCTGAGCCAAGAGAAAAGTTTGTACTCACCGTATGCAATAGGTTCGTAGAGACGTGCAGGACGGCCGCCAAAATCCGCGCTTGCATGGGATGTGGCGTAAGTCCTACCTCTGTGGCGACGTCTGTGGCCATGAATGACCGTGTAGCGCCTGTGTCAATAAGCACTCAGACGCAATGTCCATTGACTCCAATTAGGATGGTAAGGCTGTCGTTGGATGCTGCGGGGATCGAACAGACGACAGCCGTCACTGTCCGATCTTCGCGTTTCCCTGCTGCGGGCAGTTTGCTGCTGTATGGCCTGCAAGACCACATTGGACGCACTTAGTTGCCTGCACTGAGTCTGGTTAGGCAAATTCACCTGATTAGCTGGATTGTTCCAGCAATCCACTGTCGAGTGCACTACCATTCATCCCGGGTGGTATGCGCAGTTTTGTAAGGCGCGTGCTGGCGCTGCCAACGGAGTGGAGCTCCTTGATCCGGACTTGGAACAGTCAGCGGTTGTGTGGAATACGTACTTCAAGTGATGGTCACAGTAGTACTTCGGTATTCCGGCGGCGGTCATTTTTGGTGGTCTTGCCTGGCCGGGCGCAGGAGAAGCCGCCGTCACCATTTTTGGTGATGCAGGGTGCGTATGGCAATACTTGTCCGCGTGCGCGAGACAATCATCCCAATTAATCGTTCTGTCCGCCGTTGCTTTGGCGTGGAGGAGCGCATGCATGCCTCCCGTGGTGATTGATAGCAGTTGGCCAATCAGCCCTGCCGTGATTGTGCATTCTTGATTTGGAATATCTTCCAGTTTAAAGGCGAGGTACCTAATATATTCCTCTTGCAAGCGCTGGCCGAATTTGGCGTATGATTCATCTGGCGTTGGGCGCATCTTCTGGAACCTCTGAAAATGCTCAAACGGCGACAGGCCAAAACGTACCTTGAGGTGTTCGACGATTTGGTTGTACTGGAGGTATCCCTGTTTGTACAGGATTTGCGCTGCCTCCGCTACCTTTGGTTGCGAATGTGCAATGATGAGAGAATTGATCCGCGTGTGGTTAGGTGTGGCTTTGTGCCAAAAAGCAATCGCT